GAGTCAATTAATCAGTATACCAAGCCTAGTACAGACTGAACAAACAATAAACAGACCAGAGATCAAATGATGTTTACAATACAAAAAAGATAAACTTTTTCTGCCTTTTATCCCCCAATATAGTGTAGGCCTTCAAAAGCCCCACACCCAATTAGCTCCCGCACAAGTCATACTGTCCTTATGCTATTGACATGCGTTTTACCCCAACCCCTTCCATATTTTTAACTTTCATTCTCTAGTTCCATTTTCCATGTAATTTTAGTCGCGCCTTTCTATTATCTATGACTCTGTCGGGGCTTCCAGTTTAACATATGTCCCTAGTAGTCATATTTTTTGTCTCAGAATTCCATAGATGCGTGTTCTCGCTTTTCTGAGCAGGAGCCAAGCAAGACCCCTTTCCTTGATGACATAAACTTTACTTTCATTTAAAAAAGTGATAAATTGCAAAACCTATAACAGAAGCCATAGCCTTCATGTCCTTGTCATTCAAACAACAAGATTCATTACTGTGGTGAACTTGTGGACTGCGCCTGTGTTACCAGGGTCCCCATGGAAAACAAAGAACATTAACACTCCACCCTATCAGGCCTGTCTTAAAAGATGACTAAGGGCAGAGCTAGGGTTGGTACTTCCATCCCGTTAAAAAAAAAAATGCCACAAAAACCAACCAACCACACAAATAGTTAAAAACCAACCCCAAAAAAAAAAATTAATGCAAAAATAATATATAAATGACAAGCAATACCCAGCTAACCAAGAAGGACACACACTTCACTCACCCAGGAAAATCTCCAAAAACTGGGCATCTAGAATGTTAGAAGTTTATTTATCATAGGAAGGCCAAAAAAAAGAGACTGTAAAAGAAATGAAACAATGTAGAAATAAAAGGCAGGACCTCCCCCCCCCCCCCCCCACCCTTTTTTTTTTTGGCCCACCAAAACAACAACAACAAAAAAAGTAGAAAGGAAACTAGAGGAAAGGTTAAAAATAACAGGGAGGAGTGACCTGCATGAGATAGCAAAGAACAGGATGACTTGGCATAAGCTTGTTCAAGGCCTATGCCCTACTTTTAAAAAAAAGGGGTGGGGGAATAAGGAGAAAAAGAAGAATTTAGGACAGTGAAAATATAATGGAAGCACTATCTTCATGTCCTTGTCAATTAAACAAGACTAATTTTTAAGACAACAAAAACAGAAAATGGTAGCATTACCTTCATGTCCTTGTCATGATGATCTTTAAACTCCTTCAGGAGCTGCCTCTGTTCCTCTATGAGTATCTGCTGCTCCTGCCGCTGTTTCTCTAACACAGCCAATAGTTCCCCTTGTTTCTTCTCCTTTTCTTGTAATTCTAACTCCTGAACAAACAATGATGCACAGTGGTACCACTCATATTACTACTATTGTTATTTTCCTACAGTTTTCTTCTTCTGCTTCTTCTTCTTTGTTCACTGGCTGTAACCTCCGCCAGAAAGTCCCGGTTTGTTTGTTCATTTCAACTTTGGCTTTGTGCCAAGACCTGAGTTTTGCATGTACATCCATTTTACTGGCTTATTTGTGTGCAGTTGGTGGTTGTTCTTTGCAGCTCAGGCAGATGCACTCTGACTTCAAAGGAAGCTCACAATTAGTTGACTCTTATGACATGCTTTTTGTTTTGTTTTCAGTAGGCAGTGAGTCTATTCTTGTTTTCCCAACAATGGGGCCCTTGAACCCACACTAGGATTTTCAGTTATAATGTACAGTATTTGTCTAGAACAGGGGTTGTCAATTAAACAAGATATGCAGACCCCTCGCCTCTTTATTGTTTCGAAGGTCTGTTCCTGACCCCCATCAGTACCATGGACCCAAAAGAAGAAACATATAACATCCTACATGATCTGAGCATTGATGATAATTGGCTCATAAACGGCATCCTATCCCAAAAGCTGAGGTATTTTGGCCATGTTAAACGACATGGTGGCCCGGAATGAAGGGTCATGTTGGGTATAGTTATGGAAAATGAGGCAGAGGCAGACCTCCACAAAGCAGATAGAAGACACTGAAGATGCACTGGGTATGAAAGCACATAGGGCTGGAGAATTAGCTAGAGAAAAAAAAAAGACTTTCTGGCATGCTGTGAGAAGAAAGATATTCTGTAGTGGACTTGCTGTTGGATGATGATGATGATGCCATTGACCCCATACTTTTTAACAGTAATATTTAAAAATAAATAAAAAGGTAAATCTGTATCAGAATCACAAAAGTCTGACATCTGACCTGAGCATAAAAAACTGAACGCAAAGAAGAAAAAGCAGAAGAATCACGCCCAAAAAAAAGGTCTAAGAGTCTTTTTTTCCCCCCCTAAATGATATCAGTGACCTGTTAAATTTGTTGCACAGACCCCCTGGGGTCCGGAGACCACCAGTTTGAAATCACTGGTCTAAAATACAAGACAAGTCACTCAATTTTCTTTTTGTAACTTTAATTCTCTAATGGAGCAAAAGCCCTCAGTCAATTCATGCCAATCTTACTTTTCTTATTCAAGATTAGTTGGGATATTGAATATATATGAAAAGATAACATCATAGAAACTCTACAACAGCGTTATGTGTCTATGGTCAAGGAGACTAAAAGAGTAGGAAGCAGAACCTTATTTCTCCCTCGACGCCCGAACCAGTAAAAGAGAAAGTGAGGAAGATGAAAAGTTGCACACTGCACTTAATTCTTCTATAGGATATGGTAGCTAGGCCCACATCAGGCATCCTTAGTTGCATCTTAGGACATGCACACTAAGTTCAGTAAGTAAAGTAATGAACTCTTTTCATGCCACTGTCGAATCTGGCACACAGTGCTGGACCTCAGTGATGAGGCCTGCATGTAACAGTTGTAGTTGTAATCACCACTTACACTTTCCACTGCCAAAGAAAAATGCATCAATTTACTACAGTAACACTTATATAAATGAAGCAGATAAGTGAATCCTTTATAACGGAAGTACAAATTCAACAACGATCAAATATACCTGCCTATCTTACCAAGGCAGCCTCAATGTCAGAACCATATCTTTCTGTATACAAAGCTCAGGGCGCAGGTGGGGAATTGTGGCAGCTTCAAGAAATTTTAGCGTCATGCCATTGGCTAATGTGTGCAGGATTTGAAATGCTTTGTTCTTAGATATGGTGCTGTCCAGATTTTAAAAGACGGCGTGCTATTGAGGAGGGATGATCTTTACGGCTCTTTAAGGACATTCTTTTATATTCATTTCCTTGGCTGGGCTGACATAGAAGCCCTTATCATCATCATGTGCTGTGCTGGTAAGCGCAGACTGTCATGTTTCACAATCTCATATGATCATCAGAATCATGGATCAGGTCAATGCTTCTGTCCTGCCCATCCATGTGGCCAAGCAATCCAAGTATTTATCTCTTTGCCTTCCCCTTGTTCTCTTTCTTTGCATTTTCACATTTCTTCTCATAACATGTCAACAACAACAAAAGACTGCCTGTCTAATTGTTCTAAGAAATGTATGACTTTCATCTTTCCCAAAGAGGACTACTTCATTTGTTTTTCTATCCCTCCATGATACTATTTGCTGGCAGTCTTATGTTAATTTAAAGCATTCACCTTGATGTGGATTCAAACAAAAGACCTTCTGGATGGCAGGTGAGAGTTTAGCCACCGAACCTCCATGGTTCCCACACTAAGTTACAATAACTATTAATCCTTTGTAGAGATGGTATGAAAGTACCAGCTCCAGTAGAACTGTGCTGCTGCATAAGACCGAAACTGAAAATTCACATCTGTGAATAGGCATAATAACAGGGCTTTTTTCCCTAGAAAAGGGAAGGCACTGGTAGTGCGTACTGTCAAAGTGCCCTGCATAACAGTATATATGACCAGGACATGAAACAGCAGAGCATATACAGACTGAGATTCATAGTTCATGTTTGAGATCATCTAGACTATCTGAGATGAGGCTGAGGTTAGTCATGTTTCCTCCACAGAATTTAAGTGTTTTATGATCAAATGACAACAACCTAATTCCTAGAGAGAAGTATCTTAAAGCAGACACCATTTTAATGCCACGGTTAACTGATTGATTCAGACATAACTAAGCTACAGATGAGGCTGAGGTTAGTCATGTTTCCTCCACATAATTTAAGTGTTTTATGATCAAATGACAACAACCTAATTCCTAGAGAGAAGTATCTTAAAGCAGACACCATTTTAATGCCACGGTTAACTGATTGATTCAGACATAACTAAGCTACAGATGAGGCTGAGGTTAGTCATGTTTCCTCCACAGAATTTAAGTATCTTATTATCAGACGACTACAACCTAATTCCTAGAGAGATGTATCTTAAAGCAGACATAACTTTAATGCAAAGGCATCACTGCTGGATTTAAGCATAACTAAGCTACAGCGTAGGGTCTCAAAATCCATAGGGACCTTTAAAATAAATTCCTATTTTTATTTTTCACAGATGCAATTTTATTTTAAGATACTGTTGAATTTTTTAATTTTCTAGAAATGTTCTGATTTCATCAACAGCCTATTTAAACTGACTAAAATAATCAGCTTCATATGCACATTTTATTAACTCAAATATATGCTAAAACTGTCTGAGATTAACTGATGTAATTCAAAATGCTAAGGGGCCTCACAGATTTTACTATAACTTAGGGTCTCTATGTCTTAATCCAGCCCTGCATGGCATGTTAAATATCATAAATAAGGCCAAGACTTTGTGTTATGGCCTGCTTTCCTCACTGTGTTTACTATCTTAGATATATTTTAATTGTTCATTGTGACTGTATCCGTGTAGGCCGGAATATGAAATGGAATCATCACAGAACTTTCTTCAATAAACAAATTCATGCTATTGTTTTTTTGTTTTTGTTTTTAAATTTACAAATTAAATACTGATAAAAACCAGCTCCCCCATAAAATGGTAAACCCCTGAATACTTTATGAATAGCAAGACTTTTGAAAGAATATAAAACCAATCTCAAATTTCCCAGCAAATTACCATGAAAACATTAAAGTATTCTACCTTTGAACTGCGTCTGAAATGCCATAATTACCTTTGCCTTGTTGGCCTCTGCCAATTTTTCATTTTCTTTGTTAACTTCAGGCATTTTGTCACCATTACCAGCTGCAATCTCTTTAACACTGTTATTTCCTTCAACAATCTTGTCTCTTTTAACGGCATTCTGGTCCTCAGGTTTCACATCTGCCACGGGTTTAGCAATGTTGTCTGGTGGGTGAGGGTTAGGCGGCTCTTTCCTGACATCACCCACTACTTGAGAATCACCAGGATTGCTTGGCTGTTTAGAGACAGTCTGTATGTCTGAAAGTAAAAAACAAATACCACTGCTTGTACTGTAGAATGTTTCTTCTTTTTTTTTTTCCCCATTCACTGGCTGTAAACTCTGGCAGAAGGTTCTGGTTGTTTGTCCACTTCTGGACTTTAGCTTTGTTCCAGAACCTGAGTGTTGCATGTTCTTTCATTTTACAGATCTGACTTTTTTCTATGAGGATTGTTGGTTCCTTGCCTCTCAGGCAGATGCACTCAGACTTCAAAGACAGCTCCCAATTAATCGACTCTTACCACATGCTTATTGGGGAGGCAGTGGGTCTATTCTTGTTTTCCCCACAATGGGGCCCAAAAATCCACAAACGGACTAAACATTCTTTCTTTCTATTCTTTTTGTGTGTGTTTCATCTGCAATTACTCTTGTGTAGGCTGTGTGGCCCAATTTGAGGGAGAACTAGAACAGACCCACTGCCTCCCCAACAAGCATGCTACAAAAGGTGATCCGTTAAAGATGTGGTGAAATCTTTGTGTGGGCAAACGGTGCAGATATCACAGCCTAGCTGTAAACTACAACATAACATATCAACTGCTCTTTAAAGGTTAAAAGAAGAAGACCCCTCAGTAAAGCACAGTCTCTCAATCAACTCTCAGTAAAGCACAGACTCTCAGTCAACTCACAAAGTTTTCTGTAGACTTGTTCAAATTTAGTTGAATTTTGTGCCGAGTTTTCTAAGATATAGTAACCAGTTCCACACAAAAATCTACAGCTGCACCTTATGATGGGTTTCAAATGAAATTCTTAGAAGTGTGACAGAACTTACTATAGCCATGCCATTGTTCTGTAACCTGTCAATACTGTTTTCAAGGACATCTGCACCATGATGGCACATGCTTAACACTTTTGACATCCTTAACAACAATACTGTTATAAAACAATTAACTGCATGGTTATCGTAATTTCTATCACATTTTTAAGTTTCACATTTGAAGTCCCTCAATAACACGCATGATGATTTAGCAATCCAGTTTAACCTGTAACCCAATTATAGGTTAGGTCAGGGGACTATAGATCAGATGGAACCTCAACACTCAGTTCAAAGGCCAAGAGAGCTACTTAGTGATATATATATATATATACTAGCTGTACCCGGCCACGCGTTGCTGTGGCGTAATTTGAGATAGTCTTTGATCCCCCCCACCCCCCTTCCCCACAACTAAATCCACCTAGTACCCTCTCCCTCATCAAAGGTTTTTAGAAAAGAAAGACAATGGAAATCGCACCTGTCTAATGAAGTTAATGACGCAGTCAATGTCTGCGCCGACGTCGAGATAGTCCTTGATTGCCCCCCCCCCCCCCCCCCCCCCATCGAAGGTTGTTTGAAAAAAAAACAGAAAATAGAAATCGTGTTTAATATGGTTATTGTGGCAAATATAGAGATAGTCTTGTTTGCGGTACCTCGACCTACTCTATGTATTAGTATTAGAGAAGGCGTTGGCTGCACGTAACTCGCCGGCGAATGGAAGCCTTGCGTTCTGACTACGGCGGCGCATGCGCAATTACTAACGTGGCTATAATTAGAAATCACTAAAGTTATAAATATTAGTTGCGTATATTTTGGCATAAATTGTGGTCACCTATCTCTAACAGTGACAGGTTGAATTTCAAACCACGACGGTTCAAAATCCGGTATCACAACAAACATATGCTGAAAATTTCAGCTAAATCGGTTCAGTAGTTTCCGAGTCTATAGAGACCAAACACACAAACATTGATTTTTATATATATAGATATATAGATAGATAGTTTGGTTTCCCAACTTTAGAACACGCACCATATAATTGTGTCTTTATATTAGTGGTCGTTTAAATGGTGTTATTAGCACGGTAACAAAAGTGGTTATTTGGTTATCACATGCTAAAGCTGTTTGTATTTTAATAGGAGACGGAAGTAAAGCTACAACTGTACTTGTAAATAACAAAGTAAGTCGTAAAAAATAGAAAAGCGGAGGTAGCCTTAGTAAAATATAAACAAATTAGGTAATGAGAACTTGAAAATCACGTGTAAAGCTCTTTAAGTTCTCTTAAATTTAAGTCATTACCCCCCCCCCCCTCCCCTCCCCTCTTCCACCGACTACTGCTCTCTCCCTCTTCGAAGGATTTGAAAATCACTAACTGGCGATATTTTGTTGTTGCTGTAACTGACATTGACATCCCTGTCCATCTGGACTAAAATAAGGAGCAGGAATTGTAAAAGGTAGTGAATAGGGCTAGTGAAATATTTACCACATCATCCTTCAAGTACCAGTACAACTACTAAAATAATGTCACTGCTATCTGTGTTACCATCGGAGTAGACAGAGAGTCGTGAGCCAGAAGATTTGGTTCCGCATGGCTAGTGCTGTCGCCACAGACTGGTCAGGTTAGGATGTATAATTTCACTTGCCGACAGAAGAACGCCATAACCTTACCGGCGGTCTTCACATGAGAGCACTATGGTGTAACAGCCCAACCACAACTATTACTGCTGCTGCTACTTTAAGTGGGTAAAGCAGTTACTGTGACTTAAAGCTCTCTCAGTTAATAGTTTGCCCCCCCCCCCCCCCCCCCAAATTCACCGACAACTCTTTCCCACATTGAAGTAGTTGGGAGAAAAAAAAACAACACTTGAAAAGCAAATGAACACAGGAAAAAAAGCACCATAATCAGGAAATGAACGCCATTGTAAACAGCACAGCTTAAAATTCCAACACAGATGAAATAACTAAATCTAAATAAAAATAAATGAAAATCTATAAAATTTTTCAGCGTAAACCATGCAATCGGAAAGTTTAACAATGCAATCATAAGTATGCGAAATGGTCAAATTTAATTATCAAATGGTTTACCCATTTACTTGTTTTTTTTTTTTGTTTTTTTTTTTTTTTTTATGATTAAGGCAACATGGCTAGTGCTGTCACCACGACAGAGCAGATGAGGATATTATTTTAATCCGGGGTAAAAAAAAAAATTTAACTACTGCGGATTCGAACCCAGGTCTACCGCACTTGAACCCAGTGTTCTAACCATTCGACCAAGCAGCCACTTAATCGGAACAACGAAAAGAGAACACAACTATTAGACATATGTGTCCCTACCACTGTGTCGCGACTAAAACACAATTCAAAACCGCAGGCAATTGTTTTCTCGTAGACAGATACTCCAGATATATTAATGAAATAGAAATCGCACGTGTCTAACAGGGTTAATGAAGTTAATGTCGCAGTCACTGTCTGCGCCGACGTCAAGATAGTCCTCGATTGCCCCCCCCCCCACCCCCCAATCGAAGGTTGTTTGAAAAAAAAAACAGAAAATAGAAATCGTGTTTAATATGGTTATTGTGGCAAATATAGAGATAGTCTTGTTTGCTGTACCACGACCTACTCTAATAATTAGTATTAGAGAAGGCGTTGGCTGCACGTAACTCGCCGGCGAATGGTAAGTACGGCGCATGCGCAATTACTAACGTGGCTATAATTAGAAATCACTAAAGTTATAAATATTAGTTGCGTATATTTTGGCATAAATTGTGGTCACCTATCTCTAACCGTGACAGGTTGAATTTCAAACCACGCGGTTCAAAATCCGGTATCACAACAAACATATCCTGAAAATTTCAGCTAAATCGGTTCAGTAGTTTCCGAGTCTATAGAGACCAAACAAACACACAAACATTGATTTATATATATATATATATATATATATATATATATATATATATATATATATATATATATATATATATATATATATATATATATATATATATATATATATATATATATCCAATAAGTACACTATATTCTGTAGTAGGCAGCTTATATTTTGTGTGTGTGTGTGGAAATTTAATCAGGGCAATACCCAGAGAAGAAAAATAGTCATGACAGAAATGAAATGTTTACATATTATGCTATGAGTAACAAGGAAAGATCAACTAAGGAATAATTATATCAGGAGCAGAGTCAGCACAGAACCAGTACTAAGCTTTATCGGTAGACAAAATATCAAACGGTGCTGCCATAATACAAGACGCAAAAGACAGGGCACTACACAGGGCGATGTTATACAGATACAGCTTTAACAGAGCCAGAAGCAACCATGCAGAAGATGGACCGCAGAAATATCAGAGACATTGAGAGTCCTATAAATAAAGAGAACATAGGGGCACATTCCAAAGATTTTTGCCTGCCCTGATGCTGCACAACATTCCTGGAGTAGAGAAAAGAAGAAGAATAACTAACATTTTTCAAACGACAATTTGTTGTGTGAAAGGTTTGCCTGTTATTTAAAGTTTTTCCAAACTCAGGCATCTATTCTACTATCAAAAAACCAGAGGGGAGTATGCCATTCTCAGAATGTCTTTAAATTGGCCTTTACTTTACTATTAGGTCAGCATCTTTTGAATCAGAGGTAATGAGAAGATATGAAATTATGAAGTTCAAAGGAGAATGGGAGAAGCGACAGCTGTGGATTTTATTAGAAAACAATAGGTGAAACAGTTTGCCCATATAACATGGATGTCAGCAAACAGTGTACCACAGCAAGCATTGATGGAAGACCAGACAGGAAGCAAAGAAGAGACTGACCATGCAAGCAATGAACAGAGGGAATACAATAACAGAGTACCTGGAAGTCCCTATTTACGATGCACACAAACTGGAACTTTCCTATAAATTATACTTCATGTCGACATTATAAGTTACCAGAGAATCTAGATGAAATGAGGAGATATGAATGACAGTTTTCAACATCCTTCTCAGGCTTAGTCAAAGGTAATGAGGAGACATTAATACAAACAACATATTGCACAGTGTGTTTTCTGGCACATTTCGCTATATCTTATTAGGTGTATACTATAGAATTTACTTCAACTCATTATGTGGAAGAAAGCAGAATAAAGCAACTTAGTCTCCTAAACCAGTTGGCAAAATAATTAATTACTTTAAATAATAAGGAAACAAACAATATATTGCCCATGGTATTGTCTAGAACATGGCGTCACCAGCAAGTAATAGCAAATAATAGATTACTTGGTGTGAGGTGAAGGCTGTAATGACATTATTAATAGGAAGGCCCAACATGGATATAATTAGCACTATGTGATAAAAATACAGGATGTATGATTGGCTAAGAGAGGAGGATCCTGATATATAAAACATGATGCAATAGGAAACCTGGAGAAGAATTCCCTTTGCCACACAGGGAATAAGTAAGGAAAGTGTGTATTCCATGTCTTGTGAGCGATTCTTCTTTTTCTTTGTTCACCCGATGTAAACTTTGGCAAACAGTCCTAGTTGTTCGTCTATTTGGACCTTGTGCCAGGACCTAAGTTTTGTGTGTACATTCATTTTACTGGCTTATTTAGGTGCAGCTGGTTGTTCCTTGCCGCTCAGGCAGATGCACTCCGACTTTGAAGGAAGCCCCCAATTAGTTGACCCCTACAGCATGCTTGTTGATTATGCAGCGGGACTATTCTTGTATTTTCCCAAAATGGGGCCCCGGAACCACACTGGGCTTGTGCGATTCTAACCTGAAGGAATAATGTATTCAGTAAAAGGATATTGTTGTGAGGGGAGGACAAGGGGGATTCGATCGTCTGGATGGATCCTGAGTGGCTTCTGGACGAAGAAAGAAAAAAAAGCGTGACCAAGTGATCAGATGATTAGACAGTGTGTTTTCACGCCAGAATGCTAAAGATGGAAAGGAGCACAAGTGACTGTGAAAGTGGCAAGGGGATTTATGTGTGGTCTGGTTCAATACTTTGTAGTGTTTTTATGGAGAAATGCTGCAGAATTTTACTAGTGACATGTTAGAGTAGCGACAATATCTCTGGCCTGTTAGTAAGTCGTGAATGAACCTGCGATAACCTATGATGGGAGGGCTGTTTCCAGTACAAAGTGGACTGAACATTGGGTGCTGTAAAAAAAAAAGTGATGAACAGTCAAAGCTACATCATTATGTCTTCTGAGTCTTACTCTGTTGGGAGTGATGAACTGTCAATGCTACATCATTATGTCTTCTGAGTCTTACTCTGTTGGGAGTGATGAACTGTCAATGCTACATCATTATGTCTTCTGAGTCTTACTCTGTTGGGAGTGATGAACTGTCAATGCTACATCGTTATGTCTTCTGAGTCTTACTATGTTGGGAGTGATGAACTGTCAATGCTACATCATTATGTCTTCTGAGTCTTACTCTGTTGGGAGTGATGAACTGTCAATGCTACATAGTTATGTCTTCTGAGTCTTACTCTGTTGGGAGTGATGAACTGTCAATGCTACATCGTTTTGTCTTCTGAGTCTTACTCTGTTGGGAGTGATGAACTGTCAATGCTACATCGTTATGTCTTCTGAGTCTTACTCTGTTGGGAGTGATGAACTGTCAATGCTACATCGTTATGTCTTCTGAGTCTTACTCTGTTGAGAGTGATGAACTGTCAATGCTACATTGTTATGTCTTCTGAGTCTTACTCTTTTGGGAGTGATGAACTGTCAATGCTACATCGTTATGTCTTCTGAGTCTTACTCTGTTGGGAGATGAACTGTCAATGCTACATAGTTATGTCTTCTGAGTCTTACTCTGTTGGGAGTGATGAACTGTCAATGCTACATCGTTATGTCTTCTGAGTCTTACTATGTTGGGAGTGATGAACTGTCAATGCTACATCGTTATGTCTTCTGAGTCTTACTCTGTTGGGAGTGATGAACTGTCAATGCTACATCATTGTCTTTTGAGTCTTACTCTGTTGGGAGTGATGAACTGTCAATGCTACATCATTGTCTTCTGAGTCTTACTCTGTTGGGAGTGATGAACTGTCAATGCTACATCGTTATGTCTTCTGAGTCTTACTCTGTTGGGAGTGATGAACTGTCAATGCTACATCATTGTCTTCTGAGTCTTACTCTGTTGGGAGTGATGAAATGAGATGTTGATGCTCGCCTGGACCTTGGCGGATAAAAAGTAGAACAAGATCAAGAATTAAAAAAAAGAGAACGTAATGCCCCGAGTATTTAGCTGTATCTCACCAGGTGCATACTATAGAATATACAGGGCAACAACATATTAAAGATGTCTGTCTGTCTGTTTTTCCTCTCAGAACATGAAGGTTGACCATCCCTGTGACTTAAAGAGTCACATCCTGGATGGCAATTTACATTTTACGACACTGAAGATGATGGTGGGACTTGATACAGAGTTAATTAAGAGTACCAAGGATGACAACTAATTTATTTAACTCTCCACTAGTACAACATTCCTGAAGAAACTGATCAACATTAAAATGAGATGAATTCAAGAACAGCAAACAAAAAAGAGAAATGTCCGGATAACTGCTAGTATCAATAGTTATAAGACAAAGAAGATGACAATATATTTGGAACATCATGAGAAGAAGCAGATGGAGAGTCATCAAACAGGCACTGAAATTGGAAACAAATGGTTTGAGAAAATGAGGCTACACAAGAGAAACCCTCAAATGAATGTTGATGAGTGAGGTCAAAGGTTCTGAGCTGGATTCCATCCATATTGAAAAGACTGTGCAGAATATAACGGAATGGAGTAAAAGACTGGGTGTCCTATGTGATGTATAAATGGCACATCATGATGATGCTGATGGTGATACTAAAAGAGCACAGATAAAAGAAATGGGAAATAATCACATTACCGACCTGGTAACTTGATCTTGTCTATATCCAGATTCTTAGGCCCCAATATGCTGGAATCTACTGGTTTCAGTACTGCTTCAGCCTGCTCACTAATATGAGTGTTAACTTGTTCCTGTGACCTCAGTGTTGAATATGTGCTCACCAGTAATATTGTGATGCCAAGGACCAGAACCATCTGAAAACAAAAGGGCTAAGTTGAATATCACAGATTTCCGTAACCAAGCACGTTAATCCGTCTCAATATGGGACACCATTTTGTGTGTATTTTAAAGCCTCACCTCGGCTGTCATAGGGGGGGGGGGGGGGGGGCCTAAATACAACCTACGGGTTTAACTGGGTTTTTGTCTTGCGCCTGGGCCATTATTGACATTAGATGCAGTAAAGCAAACCAAGTATTGGGACAGCTAGCCCCCCTCTTACAGCATAAGATAATCCCAATCAGCACAAAGAGACATCTTATTCAAAGCATATTTATTCCAACTCTGTGCTACCAGTGCCAGACATGGTCACTCACAACAAACCATAAAAGAAAATTAGTAACCACGGAAATGAGATGTCTGAGAAGGGCTGTAGGAGTGACCATAAGAGATAAGTTCAGGAATGAGATCATAAGAGAACAAGTCGGCACAGAACCAATTCTGGATTACATACAAAGACAGCAAGTGAAATGGTTTGCCCACTTAGAGAGAATGCCTTGTGACACCATACCATACAAAGCATACATGGAAAGAGAAGAAGGACGTAGAGCATGGGGTAGACCAAGAACAAGATGGAAGGATAACATCAGAGAAACTCTACAACAGCACGATGTGCCTATGGTCGAGGCAGCCAGAAGAGCTAGAAACAGAACCTTATATCTCCCTCGACACCCACAGCGGTAAAAGAGGAAGTGAAGAAGAAGAAGAAGCCTGGGCCATTCTCATCCGAATGCTGGCACCGAGTATTTATTGCTTATTGTGTGGTTGGGCTGAATGTGAGTCAGTCAAGCACGCTAATAATATGACATTCTACTCTGTCCTTACTTAAGATTACTTTGTAACCATCACTGGCCCCATTAAAACACAGTTGAACAGGGTCTCTGGAATTTGTGCCTGGGAGAATTGTCATCCAAATAGTAACTCTTTAGGTCATCATGTGTTAATAGGTCAGTATGCAGTTCAACTTCCTCACTCACATTGTTAATAATTCCTTACCAGGATTTTTTATAGGATATAAATTTTGCCACTAAATAGCTGAGGAATTGTATTCAGTGGGAAGTCAATTAACATCAAAAGAACATTTAGTCAAGACAATAATAAAATGGTGGACTAAAATGTTTTCACTCACCTGTGCCAAATTCTTTCCTTCTGGCTTATTTCCCATTACTTTCAAGAAGAAAAGTGCTGGGAAAATGTAGCAGATAAGAGTTCCCATGATGGCACCATTCATTCCTAGAATGAATTCAACTGAAAACAACAACAAAAACAGAACAATGCAAAAGTTACCCTGCTGATGTAGCAATGAGTCATGACCCAATGATTTATCCTGAAATATGGCAGACAAATCATTGTGCAATATATTGGTAATATTCTTAATAACTCAACTAAAAATATGTTGGGTGTATTTTTGCTTGCTGTCTGGTTTGCATGACTTTGGAGGCCATAATATGATGCTGGGATGGCACAGAATACATTGAGCAAACATGATAATAATGTAACTAGAAATGCCCTTGCACTGGAACTCGCAAAGTCAACGAAATAAAAGCAGCCAAAACAATAGGGAGGAGAGGACTAGCGTATGAGGTGAGAAAGACCGGGGGAAGACAGGGGTGAAGTGTATGTGATGGCAACAAAATAAGCTGACTTGGGGTGAGTTGGCCAAGGGACTATGCTTCATGGAGGATACAGAGTAAAAAGAAGAAGACACAAATGTCATCATGTGCTAAACTTAGGAAAATTACTGTTAGTTACAATTTATAATATTAGTTCAGCTTAGTTGAGAACTGATAACATATCCCTTGGGACATTCCCACAAGCATTCTGTCCACATCTTCAGCACCTAGTGCAGAGTTTCAATTCCAGTGGTAACAGTAGCAGTCTGATGGTTTGTCTGTCTTGCTTTTCCCCTGAGTTGTGAGTGTCAGCTGGATCTTCTGGTCACTCCCTGCTGCCCCATTCTTTCAGAGCATAAGATCAGTTTGTGTCTCTGCACGTTTTCTCTTAGAGGGCCTCAATAACGTCTAGCTTGTCATGCATTATTTTATTTATATCGTTAATTGACTGGTGTGTTGAACGTTGAAATAAGAAACAACATCACAGCACTCAGGACACTCCCATAACTGCTAGGTCCCCATCTTCAGCAGCAGGCAAAGGGTTCCAGTTCTGATGACACCAGTAACTGTCAGTAATTGTTAGTGGACTAGAATAGGTCAGAGGTTAAGGTGTTTGCCTTTGACTGGAGCAGGCCAGTTTGTCACAGTCTTGACTGTTTCGACTGATAACAAAAATGAAACAAAAGACGGTATAATCCCCACTGAACCTAGGGTAGCTGATCAGATGTGTAGCCTCCTCTGACAAGGGCAACACTCTCAGAGGACCCTTGTGCATGCTAAAACTGTTCAAAATCCACAATTGACTGCTGCCCAAGCTAGATTTTCAAATTATGAAAGCTTCCTACATACAATTTGTGTGTGTGTTTTGCTTTAGAAGTCACCCTTTCAGATACTCTTCAAACAAAGGGACAGACATTACTATATTGTGCTTGGTTTGAGGTTTGAACAACGTATCAACATCATGGCACACAGGTAGAAACCCATAAGTTCTCCGTTCTACTTCTAACTCAAGTCTGTGTCCGAAGTAGCTCAGAGCAGTGCACGGGCTCTGTAGCACCGGCGAGAATCCTGAAATATTTTGGGTAGATTTTTAACTCAAAATTTTGCCCAGGCAGAGCCGTTGGGCTACTCTTTTCAATTTCCAACTGTCAAGGGAATTTTTTACATGCGCAACAATACACATGGACATCCGATCTCACTACCCAGAGACCAGGTAAAATTACTAGAAGTCCACATGGAAAAATTCCAGCCCTCACCGGGGCCTGAACACAGGCCCTCTAGCACATGAGGCGGGCACCATACCTCGAGACCACACAGTTCCCTATATTGTACTTATAGTACTGATAGAGATGAAATGTCCTGGAGTGAACAATGACCCCCTAATTTTTTTTTATTACGTAAGAGTCCCCTCAACAACAACAACAAACAAAACACAAGAGAGAGAGAGAGAAGAGAGAGAGAGAGAGAGAGAGAGAGAGAGAGAGAGAGAGAGAGAGAGAGAGAGAGAGAGAGAGAGAGAGAGAGAGAGAGAGAGGGGGGTGTGAGAGATTAAAGAGAGTTTTGAGAGAATAAACTTATTTTTACAAAGCATATGATAAAATCCCTATAAAGAAATTACAATCTTCAGAATACGCAAGTGAGATAAAGTTTAAATAGCCAGATTAACTCTTTCTGTTACCAAACAACTTACCATACATTTTGTGGTGTTTCAAAAGACAAAACAATGTTTTTGTTGTCCTCTAACACAGACATATGTTATTTTAACCTTTTGTATCTGAATTATTAGTTTAACTTCTCCTGTCCCAGTGTGTCTCTGTTAATCTCCATTAGGCTCAACTCCTTGGGACATAATGAGTTAAAGTAACCCTGATTGGTACTGAAAGAGTTAAATTTGTTTTCAAAAAGTATACAATGAAATCAAAATGCAAGTTTTAGAATGGTACAAGTGTTTTCATGTAGGCTGCATCAGTTTGTGTCAATGAAAACTCACCATTTGGAATCAGAATAGCAATAATCATGGATCCTACGACCAGAGTAGTGGTGATGATTCTCAACGCCCTAGCTGGCATGTGAGTGTCCAGGTCCATCATATCATCTCTGGCTTTGGATTTCTGAAAGTACAAGCATCATAGGTCAAAGCCAATTTTATATACTTATGATTTCTTTGAACAATATTGACCTTTAGGAGACTAGGATCCAAAGAGAAGTCAAGAATAATGTCACTATAACCTACCTAGCTTGTGTAAGAAGTGAACAGGGACAGCTGGCATGAGAATGGCTACCTTATCCTAGTGAAATCATCACTCTCTGTGTGAATTTTAGGGCTTTATTTTTGGTGGGGAAAAAAGGAATAGACCCACTGCCCCCTTAAAAAGCATGCTGTAAAAGTCAACTGACATACACAAAAAAAGTCAGATCTGTATTAGGATGTGCATGCAAAACGGAGGCTCTGGAACAAAACCAAAATCCAAAAGTGAATGAACAACCAGACTTTTGCGATGCAGTTTACAGCCAGTAACACAGAGAAGAAGAAGAAGAAGAAAATCTTCAGCTACCAAATCCAATCAATCGTGAACAAGTATTGGGCAGCACAAAGCAATGCTACAGTTAATGTTAAGTTAAAGATGAGGGGATCAACTTCATGGCACCAGTTTTTATCCCATATGGCTCAGTCTCTCTCTGCAGAATGGCCAAGAGCATCACATAAAATTCGAACTTTGTGGTGCTGGTGATGATCTGCAGGGGCACTTGTAAACCGAATAACACATCTGTGAAACAAACCCATGACCTTCAGAGCACAAAACAAACGGCTTGACTACTTTGCTACGGACACCCCCTCTAGAAAATTCTATGCAGCATGCAATTCACAAAGATGTTGACAGCAGTCACCCATTGTATCCCAGCTGTCACTTCAAATTCTTTTGCAATATGGTTTTTATTGTAACTAATTAAGACTCAAGGATTTTTACCAAAAAGTACACAATCTTTAGGTCTGAATACTGCTTGGGTAAAGTAACTACTGCTAGGATAAAGTTACTACTGCTTGGGTAAAGTAACTATTGCTTGGGTAAAGTAACTACTGCTTGGGACATAAAGGGTTGAAGGGCTTAAGTTAAGATAAGCTGACTCAGGACCTATAACCTTCACTGGGGGATAAAGCCCAAAAGTAGACAAATTCATTTGAAATACACCACAATTGTTTCACAGCTTTTTCTGTACTATCTTTTTTTTTTTAAAAGACTACATCACAGGTGCACATTCAAAAGTGAATTATAAAACATGATACATTTAAAATTAAACCACTGTAAATGTATTCACATAACAGACATTCTATTATGTTTCAACTAATCTGCTATTTTATTCAAATAGTGAGAGTTGCAGTGTTACGTATGCATCATGGAACAAACACTGAAGAACATTAAATTCTGTTTTGAACAGTTGAAGTGATGAGACAAGTTTATGGGAATCAATGTTTTATCTCCTGCACAGACATGCAGGTGGCATTCATGATTCACAACTGGTTTGGAAAAGACAGAAGATGAAGCTATGAAAGAATGTCTGGCAGATGGCAGATGAAGAAAAAGCGGTAAAATTTTAGTGGAAAACTTTGTTAGAGAAAAGTTGCTTTCAGGTTTGTGCCATGTTCTTTTTGTGATGCCAAAAACATACTCATGAAGAAGACAATGATGTTTTCATATTCAACTGTTTCCACACCAGATCTGATCTCAAATTCTATTTGAAAATCTAAGCATGAGATAAAAATACTGATCCTCTAAAAAATGGTCTCATCAACAAAAGTGTTAAAAAAAAAAACACACACACACAATTTGTTTCATAAAGTTTAAAACAGAATTAATGTTTACTCCTTGCTCCACGCAGCATACATAACCGGCCACCTTTTACTAGCTAAACAAACTGGCAGGTTACTTGCCATCTGCTGAGCAGACGGTGTTGCAATTTTGCAAGATCACAGATGACTGGTGCCTGTTTGGATTAGGTGCTTTGTTTTATGTATGGCGTTTTTTGCATAAGCTAAAAAAAAAAAAAAACCAGTCTCACTATTTAATAGCCGAAATGTCATTAATCCATACCTGTCTTGGGTAGCCTCTCGTTCTCACTTCTGTCTCTTTATATGCAGCATCTATGTTGCTATTGTGTGTGTGTGCATGCGTGTGATTGTGTGGTTTTATATATAAACATATATATATATATATATTTTTTTTTTAAATAATGTGGACAAAAACAATACAATTTCCAATTTATTGCCAGGCATATTTCGCTGTATCTTGTCAGGTGCGTTACTACAGAGTTACAACAACATAAAATGAAGCACAAAACTAAATAAATCCAACCGAAATGTGAAAAGTTTCTTTCGACACATTGTGTGTGTTTTGGCCGCTGGAAATTCACCGTAGTCATCAGGGTAATTTCAAATTTACTTTAAATTCCGTCTGCTCACAAAGGAGGATGTTGTTGATTTTAATTTTTAAAAGCTTTGGCCATTCTCAATAGTCGCCTGTTCGGAGTGTGATAAACCACATGGAAAGCACTGTCTGTGTCAATTACGTGTCCGGAATTAAGTAGATGACGTACTATGGAAGAAGTTGGTCTTTCCTCTTGACTGGTCTTGACATAAATAAACTGTGCAATGTATTGTTTGTGTCCGCATTATTTAAATTCATTACGGGAAAACATTGTTTTGAATTTGTATATTTTTTTTAATAGGCTTTTTGTTTATAATGTTTTTAAAAAAATTGATTACAGATTTTACTATTGAAGAACGTGAATTTTTACTTTGGAGCAAGACATTTTAAAAAAGAAAATCATTAACAAGCAACATTTGAACAAAGAATACTATTAAAAATATTTATAAAACAAAGCAATAAACCCAAAACAATCAAAAACTTGTTAATATTAGCTCTGACTACAACACAAGATTAACTACTGGATAAAGAAACAAGCTGTGTTAGATTTCATTTAATTACAGGTTTAACCCAGAGGTCTGCCTATAATTTCACTTACAGTTAGTCAAACTCTTGTGTTTTTCTTGTTATATTTCGAAAATATGAAGGAGCTGAGATTTAGTTCTGAGTGAATAAAAGGCATTCAGAAGTCTGCCAGTTCTGTTGAGGTTTAAAGAAGAAAGATCTAAAACATTTGTAATTCTCAATAAAGTGTTGGTGATGAGTCGCAGCTGGTACCATATAAATTCCTGTGAATCAAGAGGTGAGGAAAAGATGTAGATGCTGGATGTGACACACACACTGAGCAGCAGTTTTAATAAGTAAAACTGACATTCTTCCAGAAAGTTAAGAAGTTAGAAAACACTAGAACTGAAAGCAGTCATACAATCCACTAAAGAACAACAGATTGAATAGTGTTACCATTTGACAAGAATGACCTGGTACCAACCCCAAGAGAGAGCTTTGTTAAAGGAATATAATCAGATTAGAGCAAGAAGGAGCGCATCTTTAATTACTGCTCCAAGTGGATGATGTCTGATTCTGTCACTGGCTTATAGTAGTCAGAAAGAGCAAAGCGTTCACAAGAATAAATATCCATTTGCAGAGGTTCTTAAAAATATCACACCTCCAATACTGGTTAACTGATGTGAAAAGCTGATTTAAAAAAAAGCAGAAGCAGTAAGAATATGTAACACACTTATGAAATAGAAAACCTACTCATTAAAAAAATAAAATCTATTTTAAAAATAGAAAACACAGTTATGACACTAAAAACATGATACTGAAAACACACTTAAGTAACAGAAAACACTCATGAGATTTTTTTTAAAAGTACATATATAGCATGAAATATGATGGCAAACCACTTCGCAGACATTGTGCACATTAATAAAAACATGCTATGCTTTTGTAACTTTTTTTCACTGAATTATCAAAATTTACTACAAAATGTAGAAGTTCTCAAAGGAAGAGCTGAGGCAAAACTAAAAAAGGCATATCTTGATGGATCTGCCATCTTTCAAAAGAATCTGGCCCACTTGCTACACATCAAAGAGATAATGTATTTTAAAAATACTAATCCAATTCAAATAGTGGGGCTTGGGAATTTGTAAGATTTAAATTTCATATCAAATGTCTGGAGAAACTTATTTAAACTAATTTGAGTATGGTACTGGGACCCAAGACTGGCTCAAGATTGTTCCAATCTAGTTAATTCCATGGCAAAGCGTGTTCAAAGCACTTCTATAAAATCTAGGTCACTTTATGTATCAATGTAAATATATTAATGCAATTCATAATAGCAATTTGAAAAACAACAATAAATGTTCAGCTCTTTCATAGTTTTTTTTTCAGTTACTTTGCAAAAGTACATAGATTCTTTTACAGAAAGTAAGCAGAATGGTAGGAATAATATTTGATTGACTGATTAACTAGATCAAAAAGCTGTAAATAAAAAGCAAGAAAGATAAGTAAGTATATTTAACAATATACGAAATAGAAAATATTAGACACTACATTTCTATGAAAAAGTTGGAAGCATGATCCAAATAAAGTAATGGCATGAAATGAATTAATCAACCACACAGAGTCCACTATATGAAAAAATATAACAACATATATTACAACTGCTTGTGCGTTACTGGGGCCCATGGGGAAATTAAAGATGTAGAAGACTGTAACATACTCAATGTTTTGTTGCAGCCAACGAAGATGACATGGTGTGAGAATAACTATTCTATTCTATAGATATTTTATTTTAAAAATCAAACCAAGCTTGAAAAAAATCCACAAAGCCCTTGATCTGAGTTGTTTGAATACCTATGCTTCAATAGGAGAGCTTAAGGCATTTTCAGAAGCATAAAACTTAGAAGGGGGAGAGACAAGGAAAAGGGGGATGAGAAGAAACAAAGAAGAAGAAGAAAAGGGAGGCGAAGAGGACAAGGAGAAGAAGGAAAATGAGAAGAAAAAGAAACAGAAGATACAGAGGAAGGAGAAGAACAAGAAGAGAAGGAGAAGGAGTTTCTTTGTGTGTATGTTTTATTCTGCATTCTTTGATATTCTGCATTCTTTGATAAGCTGCTCAGAAATTCTTTAGCCTAGTGAATAGTTTCACAAACCCAAATTATTTTTGTAAACATACAACTGCA